GAGCGTTGGGCAGGGAAACAGGTGGGCCCAGCAAGTCAAGCGTCACCCTTTGCATACGTCTTCGTCAACGTGGTGACCCAAAGAGATCCCTCCGATTGGTGCAACTGTCCCCTGCCGATTGCGCGATATGATGGTACTTGCATACTCTCGATAGTTTGGCAAGAGCATCTGTCTCATTATGCATCCTGTCGTTATGCGTATACTCTTCTGTAATAATTTCCTGAGGTTTCCTTTTTTGAGACTCTTCAAAGTCAATGTTTTGTCGGAGCTGATAGAGCGTGTGTTTGGTCAGTCGGTGTCTGAGAGCGTTTTCATGGTCAGTAATTACTTATACAGTATTTGTAAAATGCGCATTCGATGACAGCACACCATGGCAGCAATTTTCACAATCGCTCAATAATGTAAGCCTTAGCCCATGTTCATAGAGCTCGAAGCCACTGTTGAATTCCTTAGGTATGCCCTAATATTGTTCAGCTATTTTCGTTCTATCATGTTTCGTTTTGTTTTATCTGTTCCACTCAAAACTGTGGTATTTTTAATGTCCGTGTCCATTGGTTTTCGTCGCACCACATGCTGCTCTCAGGGTTTGTTCATTTATTTCCTTGCCCCCCCCACCAATAAAAAACAACTATTATTTTAAAGAGAACCAGACATCTGTATGATTTAAATAATTCTATTCAAACAGTAAAACCCGTGTACTTGTCTACTCAGCAAAGTCTGCTTAATACGAGTAGATACTTTGGGAAATTTGCTGCATGCACTGGCTAATCAAATTTCCTCCCGCGCTTTGCTCAGCGTCTTTAATTTGCTTCGTTGCATGAACACCCACGTGCGAATGAGTTTTCCTGTGGTTGATTCAATGGACGTTTTTCATGATCCGTTATGTTTTATGAATTTTATTTAAATATACTACTCATAAGAGACAGCATGAGTTATTAGACTGGAATAAGTACACCGTAATCAATTACCTAAGCTGTCTACGCTTTGACACTAATGACCGTGACGCAATGCAGTCCTATGTTTCGCTAGTGGTGACGAAGCCACCGTATACCGAGGTAAACCCTTTTCTAAATGAAGTGGACAATTTTATCCCGCACTCGCTTCATTACTTATGACCCTCAACGCGCAATGCAAATAAACAACAAGCACGTAACGGACATGGGAGAATTTGCCCTAATGTAAACAACGCTGCTCAGATTCGCATCGATCACGGACATGCGTAAGTAATCGATACTTTTCTCTAATTTCTCAACGCAAATATACGAAAAAACGCAACATTTAATTTCTGGACACAGTCGGAATCGCTGATGAAAACTTTCGATCTAATTTCCTCTCCTACAAACACTAATATCCTGGTATTGCAGTGGAGCTTCAGGAAACGGATTCTCGGAAGGTAATTATCGTAACTCATCTTCGATAGAAAACGAGGAAATTCGGTTACTTCGTAGGCTTGAGTAAACGAGACAAATTTGTCCGCTCAGATCTACTAAGCTTGTCTATAGCCGGACAGATATTCCTTAAGGGTTTACGCAAAGTGGCTCGCAACCTCATTCTGATACTTCTTTAGTAACGGCAAGGTGCGAATCTCTCATTTAGAACAGAAGCTACTGTAATCAGATTTAACCATGTTATTAGCTTGTGCAGCAACTTTATCAATTATGCTATGAAACACTAAAAATATATGATACTGAAATACATGCGCAGAAACGGGCTGTAGGTGAGAATGTTATACACAGCCAGTTGCATTTGCCGGTTCTGGTCTCTACGAGTTTTTGAGGGGAGGGGTAAAACTGATCGCTTAAGTAAACCTCAGTTTTAACTGACAGGGAATGGAACTGGTTACGAATCGCATGACGCATGCTGACTAAAACTTTAAGTGAAAAGGGTGAACGTGCTCCCAAACCACTGCATACTTTGACCCGTTGCTTCTTCTGTACGGATTCCGTTGATCGTAGCAACTAGCAACACGGCTCGCCGCCGTAATCTGAGGTGTTTTTTTAATCAAGACACGGAATACCATTTGTTGTTTACCGTAAAAATCAGGTCGCATTGAATCCATTGCTTTTTTTATGTTTTGTTTATATTTCACTTTGCCTCCACTTCTCTCTTCTCTATTTGCTACGTGTTTACCAGTTTTCACTCTGTTGGACTGATGCCTCAGATAGCTGCCATCAACTTCTTGAGTTAAGTAAATAAGGATTCGCACTCGCATCCAGCTCAACCACGCTCAATCAAGAATTCCAATGTGGATGCTGTTTACCGTGCAGCTCTCTGATACAGGCTTGACGAACTGGCGGTTAAGGAGCTCGTATCCCGGTGCTGGTGTCCTTTATTCCTCAAGGGTAATGGTGGAGGTGTTTCTTGGTTTGTCGCGTAAATGTCAAACCAGGCGAACAGATTTATCATTGCTGACTATGCCCTCAAAAATTTGTCAAATGACGGCTACTTACGAGTTTCCCATGGCAGCTTGCAAGCAGCCGTCGCTTTCTCGAGTCATGACGTCACAAATGTCATAGGCTACTTCAATACGAAGGTGGACACCAAGTACAGCCTATGTCAAACGTACTCAGGAGTTACGGTATTGGTAGTGTGAGTGACAACGGCAGCCGATTAAACTCTGTTCCCTCAAAAAAGTATTAACAAAACCATTTGGATGGCTTCCAATGGAAGCTTCAGATGGATCACGTCTTCAGCAGCCGAAAGTGGCATTGTTCCTCATTCCAGACTCTCGACAGGCGTGGCGTTTGCATTGGTTCCGATCACCATATGGTTCGTCATGTTCTCCGTGCCATATCGACGTCCTCTCTCGAAACACATCAGTCTTTAGATCTTACGATGAAGTACTGCGAGTGGCCTACCAAGGGAGGTATAGAGTTAGTTTTGTGTCCCCGCGCATTGTTCCCAATTTGGAAATACCGATGTAGATGCAAGTTGCATAGATTTCAAAGATTGCATCCTTCCTTCAGCAGAAAACGTAATCACGGTCGTGAAGAGGATAACTAAACTGTCAAGAGTTATCTTATCATTTGGAGAGCCGAGGAATGAGGCTAAAAAGGAGTATTAATACTCTATACTGCTAACTGATGTTCTATTAAAAGTTTTGACATGCAAAACGGAGGTTAGCGCCACACCATAAGCTCTATGAAAAAATATGGCAAAATCCTGGCACCAAATATATGAAAATTTAGGGATCGACATCCAAAAGGTTAAAAACTCCCGGTTTGTCATTTCTTTCTTAAACCATTCTTCAACATTGTGATATCCATGCATGCTGCTGAGATCTCATATTTATGGCGCGGAAAATTGATATTTGCAGGCTTGGACAAGTTTTGGAACTCAGCAATCCCTCGATTTTTACTAATTATTTTCCAGATCAAAATTATGTTTTGACGGTTTGGAGACGTGATCAGGACGCCACAAACAGGCCAGGCTAGCAAAACAGTTGATTCGGCCAAAATGGCTCAAGCGTAGATCGAAACGAAGATGGTTGGAACATACAAAAAACGATATTGCTGTTTATGAGATCCCAGCCCTTGAAACATCTTCTATTAGTTTAAAGGATCAGCTAAGACTGTATATTTTACTAAAATTAAAAGATCATTCGATAAACTTCCTGTCATTACGCCAACCGTGTTTGAAGATTGTAAGGTATTATAAATGAGTGAGAAACAATATTCACAAATGCACAAAAACTTGAAATCAAATCAACCCAAATCAGAGAAGTGAAAATATGAACCTTCATAAATTCTGAGAAACTCGGAGTGTTCGCGTCGACGGTGTCAACGACCTTCAACAACGCTGACCGGTGTCACGGCTAATGGATGGCACGTTGCCATGATGGCCATAGAGAACGACGGCGCCAAGTGAGCGATTCGCTTTCGATTACAGCAAAGCTCGTGTCTAAGCGTTGACGGTGACGTACTGTGTTTTTTGGCGCGATTGGCAGGCGACGTTGAAATTGAAAGGGCCGGCCGAGAGTCTCGTTGGCCGTCGTTGATTCGAGCCGAGGCAAATCAAGAGATCGACTCTGGCTTTCAGGCGTTTCACTCCTGCCCTCCATTTGCTTTGCTACTCATGACTTTCGACGAAGCAGTCGTAGGTGTTGTTTACCTTCTCAAACTCACCACGTTCCTCATCTCTATGGAAATCGTCATCCGCGGTCGATAAGCAGCGAGAGTCTTTTGCACCTCTCACCTCATGTGGTCTTACTGTTACTTTCGTCAACAAACGTATAGCCCAACAAGAACGCAGTTCAGCGAAACGTGGTAATTCGCTTAGCAACGGCGATATGCCTGCAGTTGACTCTACTCGCGTGTCGTCCCGTCGCGCCCCTCTGCCGTCACTGTGGTCTTGACGTACTCGAACAAACGGTTAGCCACCACCCGAACCGTCCTAATTACTGCTTGAACGATGACGCACCAGACGCATGGGAGTTTTTCCACTTCGTCAACGGAAGTGCACCGTTAATCCGTATTAACGGTTTCTTTTTCGGAACTTGAAATCGAATAATCGAATTGACACATTCGACCATTTCTTATGCTCACCAATTTCCCGTCAGTCCTTGTGACGCGCTAATACAGTTTTTCTGTGCATTTTTTACCAATTGATAATTCTGCTCAGCAAGCATTCGTCCCACTGCACTAATGTGCAAGCCGAGAACAGAGAAACAGCTCGTTGATCTTCGAACAGCAGAGACAACACGGTGCTTGCAATGTCAACTCGAAGGTTTGCGAAAGTAATGATCAGGCTACCTCATGAGCACATTTAAAGCTTGCGATTAGCATTGGCGTAGCTGACAACCAAGAATGGTGAGGGGAGAGCACAGTAGTAAAAGGTCAGCATCAAACGCCGGAGGTATCGGATTTAATTCCCACTGAGAAACAACATTTGCCTTAAACACGAATTGCTTCATGCAAAGGATTTACCATACGCTGCTAGAACCGAGGTTGTTCTGTTGGGACAGCGTCGCACTCCATAGAACCTAGAACTTTGACAAATGAATACTAATGAATGGCAAGAAAATAGAAGACCATGCATCATACCGATCGCATAGTTACTGTCGAGTTAGTCTTAAAAATAAGCCACTATTCATTCGTGGAAATGGAGATCAGCACTCCATCACAAACTTCATAAAACAGAGGGCACCAGAAATGATTCCATAATGAAATCTAAGGTCGACTGATATTCCAACGAGAAACCTGATTGCTGTCTGAATCAGCTCTAGGAATAACACATAAGTAAAATCAAACAATAAATGTGCTATTTGTTTGAGCTTCGGCAAAAGTATGGACAACAGTATTCTGAGGCACTTGTCACGGAACATTTTTAGCCGTCCCCAAAGTCTTCGTTCAGTTGGTTAAGCAAGTAGTGACTGCTTCGCTTTTTATTTGGTAGCTCATTAGCAAGAAGCGACCAAGCCATCGCAACTGCGACTTCTCATTTCGCACAAACGACCCCCCTACGCCTTGGCTCTCTATCGAATGCTTGAACTCCTGACCATGCAAGATGCATGAGTCTAACGTGATTAGCCTCGGAAAGCTCACACCCTGGAGCATAATTTTCCAGTCATTTTCCACGACTCATTACCGTAGGTGCGTATGCAGATGAAGATCGAGTTGAACAGAGGCACCTGGCTCTTCAAACTGAGCTCTGCTTCGGTGATAGCGGTTTTGGCTAGTTCATGCAATTCGTCGGTCGATTTCTTCCTCCCATTTTCAACCATCACTAAACACGACCACACCGATATACGAACAACTGCACCTGTTCCACTGATTCATCGTTCAGAGTGCGACGGGAACAAGAAAGCCATAGGCGTTTGGCTTTGAACCTGCTCACATGCATACAGTCACATCTTGGTAATAAAACAAGGTCGCGAGCAAACAGAAAATTTCCTACACCGATACCCTCATCGCCTTGGCAGCTCCTGACTGTTCTATCCATGTAAAACACAAACAGGATAGGGGACAGGACGCAGTCTTGGCGGAAACCAGTGCGAACGTTGAATGGTTTCGAATTAACTCCATTAACTCTGACAAAGCACCTGCTATCAGAATACAATGACTGGATGGCCCACAGCAACTTGCCATCAATCCCGTATGCACGAAGGCATGACCACACACTGTTGCGTGGGATCCGGTCATATGCTTTTTCTAGATCAACGAAATATATGTATACCGGACGGGCGTACTCCTACGATTTCTCAACAATCTGGCGCAGGGCAAATATATGGTCAGAGGTGCTTCGACCGGGCCGGAAGCCACACTGCTCATCTTGAATCTTGAGGTCAGTTATTCTGTGGCATCTCCTATCTAGCACCTGTACATACACTTTACCTGGGAGGCTGAATAACATAATGTCTCCATAAATGAAACACTTTCCTTGGTCTCCCTTCTTGAACTGGGACGCTACAGTCCCGTTCTCCGATTCATTGGTGTCTTCCCCGTAGCAATTGCGGCTTGAAAGACACATATAGACCAACACATTCTTTGTTCTCTAATATTTTAAGCATTTCATGGCGAGTTTTATGGGTTTTAGCAGGCTTGCCACTTTCGAATGTTTTACAGTTGCCGAAATTCTGTCTACCGAAGGCCAAACTCTGGAACAGGATCGTGAATGTTGAAAACACAGTCTGCAGTGTGAGCATAAGCGGTCTGAAAGAATACGCCGTCATCGACACTGACTACTTGAATGCCTGCATTTTTGAGTAACAGACATTCACACCCGTTTTGCATGCGTCAAAAGTTCAGGATCCCGCGTATAATAATTAAAATTTAAATAAATATAATCATAACCACGGAAGGCGGCAGATAAGATAGAGGACATCCAGTGGAGCATATGGCTAGACTGAAGGGAATACGTCGAATTCTTTCTCTGTGCAATGTAGCCCCTGAAGCTTGTCCAATTAATGGAATAAGATTAAAGGCCTCGTCAAGCTGCTATAGTCGCGATCCGAAGCCGGCTTCTGTGTTTCAAACCACGAGACAAAATGGGCGGCACTCTGTTTTGTAGC